GGTGTGTGTGCATGTGAGCCCAGGATCCTGAAAGGAGAATGGAGGAAAAGGGATTGTGGCATGGCCATCCTCCCTGGGGGTGGGAGTGATTTCTTGCTTTCTGTCTGTCTGTCTGTCTCTCCAGCAAGCACACATGCCCTAAGGCAAAAAAATCTATAAAATATATATATGTATATAAAATATGACAACAGAAATCGATGATAATAAAAATAATTTTAAACATTACCAAGAATTTCTTTAGACAATGTACTAATACTGACAATTTTGTAGTGAATACATTAATGCTATAAAGGAATAAGTAATTTCTGTGCAATATATCAGAATTCACCCAGAATAATAATGTGGTTGCCTAATTCACTATGAGAAGCTAGAAGGACTGATTTAAACAAACAAAAAGATGTCAAATAACTTAAATAAACACACAGATCTCATTTATTTAAACAGAGTATGAAAATAAGAAAAGCAATCTTAATTCAAAAGAATAAAATAAATCTACACCATTAATGAGTCTTCCTTACAAACACAAGGAAGGTATAACATTTTCTAAATATATCATAATACATCACTGTATCCAAGGAGAAAAACTTAGTTCATCTTAACAGATGAAGAAATGATAAAATAAAGCAATCATCAGGGCTGCCCAGTGGCCTGGTAGTTAGGGTGGCTATATCCTACACAGCTGACTATGTCCCAAGACTGGCAGTCTGGGAAACATGCCAGGCATGTGTGCCAGCACGTCCAAAATCCTGAGAGGATGGAGAAAGGGAGGAAAAGAGACTGCCACATGACAATGCTCTAGAGAGGTGCTTTCTTGCCCTTACTCTCTCCCTCGCCCTCTCCCTCTCTCATGAATGCATATGCCCTCTGACAAATGTTTTAAAAAAGCAATAATGTCTGATGTAAAGTTTCAAAAGCTGGTATGAACAGAGAGACATATTACCTACTAAGAGATTCAATATAATAAAGATTTTAAATTTTTCTAAACAAAAGGTTTAACATAATTGTAATTAAACCCTCCTAGAGTTTTCTTAGGGAGCAACATGGGGGAAAGAAAAACTCTAATGTTAATTTGAAAGGATCAACAAACACAAAAAGCTCAAAAATTTTGGAGAAGGAACAAAACAGTGTTAGAACAGATATTGTCCTGTCAGATACTGGAATATAATATAAAGCAAGAAATACTAAAACAATATGTCACTGCTACAAGAAACAACAGAGCAGAATAAACAACTATGAAATAGGCCATAATGTGACTATAATGAATACAATAATTGACTACCTAAGGAAATAAATATATTACATATAAGAACATATATGTGTGTTTGTGTACATATATAAAAATGAGATTTGATAGCATGGTATAGTTTCTATTTGAAAACCAAAAGCTAATCAAGATAAAATATTCTGATACATTAAGTTTTCCAATATATATCACACTCTTGAATATGTTTCAGAATATTAAAAATTTTTTATCATAAGAAATGTCTGCTAATTCAACTTCCTTCTTTCAGTATATAGAATTTTATGACTATAGGAGCCAGCAGGTGGCATAGTGGCTAAGGCACTGGATTCCCACATGACTGACTATGGTCTGAGTCCCAGACCTGGAGGCTTGAAACTCATGCTGGGCACATGTGTTTGCATGCTCAAAATCCCAAAAGGAAAATAGAGAAGGGACTGCATCATGGCCACCCCTCCTTGAGGGGTGGTTTCTCACTTTTCTCTTTATGTCTCTATCTTTCCAACAAGTGTACATACCCTATGGCAAAAATCTCTTCCAAAAAAAAAAAAGGAATGTAGGAGTAATATACCTTGAAGAGCCTTCTTCAGCAGCTTTTTAATATCCTTAATTTTACAGGTGTGCTCCTTGTGGATAACCACAAATGCACTACAACCATCTGGGGGTGGCTCATCAGCTGCAATCTAAGATTTCAAAGATTAAATTTAGCTACAAGAGTTGATCATTATAATATACTTTTAAAAACTCACACATTACTCTGATTAAAATAACTCATCAACTATTAAGTTATTGCTCTAATTAGAATAAAAAAACTACAGGGACTAGCAGTTAGCTTAATAGCTATGTGGTTGGACTCCCATACAGTCGACCACAGTGGCTTAAACTCACACCAGGCATGTGTACGTGCGTGCCCGAGATCCCGAGAGGAGAAAGGAGAAGGGATTGCAGCGTGGCCATCCCCCCGGGGGGTGAGTTCTTGTCTTCTGTTTCTCTATCTCTCTCTGTCCTTCTGGCAAGCACATGTACCCTACAGCAAAAACCTCTAAAAAAAAAAAACATATAGGTAAGATCTAAAAAAATATTTTAATATTTTAACAATATCAACTTTATCCTAGGAACTATACCCTTCAAAGTTTTTGAAAAATAATGTGATCAATATGGAATCAATATTATAATTTTATAGAACATTTTAATCCAAAGACATTCACATTAAATAGCTTTATGCACATTGCTAGCATGCCTCTGTCAAATACAGTTTGTGTATTTTTGCATACCTGTTGAAACATCTGAATAGTTGGAGAGTATGTCCTTATAGAGAAAGCAAACTTGAAGAGATTGATGTGTAAATTGTCTAGAAACTGTCCAGCTTTCTTCAGGATTAAGTTGTAGTAAGAATAATCTGATTCTATAAAAAGAAAAAGAGCTTAGTATTTTTATGATCAACACATTAGCATATCCCACACTTAATCAATGCCATCTAATCACATCTTAAGTTTGGCTCTGTGTGGCATTAGAGAAAAAAATGAAAAAAAATTAAGATCTCTGTTCTATTTTTAATTTCATTTTGGAGCTTCAAGTGACGTCCAAACAATCAACACAAGACTAGGTAAAATAATCTTGCCATTAAAATCTACTTAGAAGCCATAAACACTTCAGATGAACATATTCCAAGGTTGTGGGGTTATAATAAAATAATAAAATATATGTCCTACCTACAATTTAAGAGATTAAGAGTAGCCCCACAAAAACATTCAACAATATGATTACTATTAAATTTTAAATTGCACACATGAATAAATTCTACTGAGACCCAGTACAGATGTCCAAGTGTAATTGCTGTGTCTAGAATACTTTAGGGGATAACATTTGAACCAAGAACTTCAAGAGTAAATGTCATCTTGTCTGGAACTCTATAGAGCAAGCTAATCTGAGCTGCTTGCTCCCTCCTCTCAAGTAATTTCCAAAGACCTCAAGACACAAAAGAGAAAGATGGATCCTAGAATTTAATTTTAAAACTTTGTAAAACTCTTGGAGAGACAGAGACCCCTGGAACAGGATAGAGCAGAAAAATATGGCAGCCTAAGCTGAAGAGGGCCTGCTGGCACTAATAAGTAGGGAGAGAAATTTCTGTGACTTTTCTTTTCTCTATACAGCCCTGAGTGTATTCATTATCTGCACTGTTGCCACTGTGTCATAAAACCGCAGTGCCACTCCAGGGCCAGCTGCAGGTGGTAAGGTAACAGCAGGCAGCTCTGATGTAGCCCTGAGTGTATTCATTATCTGCACTGTTGCCACTGTGTCATAAAACCGCAGTGCCATTACAGGGCCAGCTGCAGGTGGTAAGGTAACAACAGGCAGATCTGATGCCCATTTGGTACAGGCATCCAGAGGCTGAGCCCAGGCATTCTCTAGTAATTTCTTCCCTCCTCCACACCTTGACACTGGATTACCAACTGAGAGAAACTGCTCATACAGAAGAGCAGAGCTGGGGCAGATACAGAGCAGTCCCCCATGGATCAGGGCTCTATGACGTAAATGGGGCTGGCAAAAGGGGTGTGGTTAAAACCAATACTAGACACTGCCTTACTGAGAGGAGGAAAATAAATTCTTTGACTGGAAGACATGTTGGGGGAAACTAGGGAACTGGATTGCAGGCTGTGACGATATATATCACTTGCACCAAAATGCACCCAGCACCAAAAAACGCGGGGTTCTTAACCATCCATTCTCTACCATAACCCATTCAGGGTACAGGTATATATCAGGGAACAGGTATCATCTGGTCCTCCAAGTTGCCTATAAGAGCTGGGGCTCAGAAAATCAGTGAAAATATGTGGACACTTTAGTTATTGCTTTTTTTCTCTAAGTAATAAAAACTTTTGAGATCCAGGAGCCTATTCTTCATGACTGAATTATTTATAATGATAAGTCTAACACATATATGATATCATTGCTGACCTCAAGTATGGAAAAGGAAGATATAAATGAAAAATTAAATGTAGCCACTAGATTTTACTGAATTTATTTTGAAGACAGTTATCCTAGAGGAAAATCCTTGATTACTTGTAATTTCTATCCAGCTGGGTCACTACTGAGTCACTATCTAGTAATTTGCCTTGGCTATATGACTTTTTTGCTGTTGTTTACCTGACTTTTTGAGGACAAGTATTAAAAATCTCTTTAAGAGTTTATACCACTCTGGTAAGGGCTCTTAATAATGGAGGCTATTCATGTGAGAGGTCAGGAGGTATATGGGACATCTCTGTACTTTATTCTTTTTTACTGTGAACCTAAAATTTCATTACAAAAATAAAATCTAATAACCTGGTCCTGTAGCTTAGTAGATCCTACATGACCAACCATGGTTTGAATCCTGGTCCTGGTGGCTTGCAAAACATGCCAGGCACATGTAAATACATGCCAAGAATCTCAAAAAGATTAACACAGAGGGTAAGGAGACTGTGGTATGACCAAGCCCCATGAGGGGATACTTTCTTCCTTTCTCTCTCTCATGAGCACACAAGCCCTCTGGCAATCATAAACAAAAATTAATAAAGTCTACTAAAAAGGGAAAAAATATAATACTACTATTTGCAAACTATTGTTTCAAAGAAATCTAGGTAAAAAGAAAATCATAATTGAACAATTGTGTTTTTTTTTTTAAATATTTAATCACTACACAGCTTTACAACCTACAAAATGAGTTTTGCCAGCATGAATACAGTACGTGTTAGTCAAGTCATATATAGTACAATGTATATCATTATCAATAGATAACTTTTCATTTTTGTTTCTGTTAAAGATTCCCCCCAGCCCCTCTGTGTAACCTCCTATTACTCCTCCTTCCCCTCCAATACTATTCTCTAGTACCTTCAGTTGCCCTCTTGTTACTATATCTTCTAATCTTTCTGTTTCTGTCATAGATTGCAGATATTTTGGCATATATTAAATGGGAAAATATAATCCCAGTCTTTCATTAGTATGGCTTTCTTCTTTTTTAATTAAATCTT